CAGGAGTTGGAGGCTGCTGTGAGCTGTAATGCCATGGCACTCTACCCAGGGGGACAGCTTGAGGCTCTGTGTCAAAAAAAATAAAAATAAAAAAAAAAGAGCCAGATTTTGGAATACAACTGCTTGTTTTGAATCCCAACTCCCTCCCTAACTTGCTTGTAACCCTGAGCAAATTACTAAGCCTCTTTGTACATTATTTGTAAGTAGGAATAATAATACCTCATAAGGTATTATGTCAAATGAGAGAATGTATTTTTAAAGGCCTTATTACAGTACCTGGCACATAGTAAATACTGAATAGTAATATCAAATAGGCAGTGCAAGGATAATTAGGACAAACAAGAAAGATTCATCATGGAAGAGTAAAAGTTGAAAATTTAAAGTTTTAAGTTTTTTTTAATTATGAAAGTAACAGTAATATATTTTGATGGGATTGGGAGGAGGGGTAAGCTGGAAAAATATAAGTATTTTTAAGTAGAGAAACATTAATGAAATGTGTCTATAGAAAAATAGGTGAATATGGGTGGCGCCTGTGGCTCAAAGGAGTAGGGCGCCGGCCCCATATACCGGAGATGGCAGGTTCAAACCCGGCCCCAGCCAAAAAAAAAAAAGAAAAAGAAAATAGGTGAATATAAAAATACATAAATAATAAAACAAAGGAAAGAGGTGACTACCCTTTCTGAATGTATTAGAAAATAGCTTAGAAAAACTGAACTATTGTTCGTATTTTTTGTTCGTTGTTTTTCAAATATTTTTAACTGTAGTAAAATATATATAACTTAAATGTACAGTTTTAACCATTTTTACGTATACACTCCTGTGGCATTAATTATATTCACCATATACCGCCATCACCACTGTTTTCAAAACTTTTTGTTACCCCAAACAGAAATTGTTTGCATTGATTCCATTAATCGGTAACTCCCCATTCCTTTCTCCCCTCAGCCCCTCATATCCTCTAATCTGTCTTCTGTCCCTGAATTTGACTGTTCTCAATATTTCATCTAAGAGGAATCATGCAATACTTAACGATATTTTCAAGGTTCATCATTGCAGCATGTATCAGAACTTCATGCCTTTTGTGGTTGAGTTATATTCCATTGTGTGTTTACCACATTTTATTTATCCATTCATCTGTGAACGGATACTTCAGTTGTTTCCTCTTTGGGCTAGTGAGAAGTGGTGTCTCCTCATGGTTTTGATTTTCACTTCCCTGCTGACTAGCGATGTTGAGCATCTTTTTATGTGTTCTTTTGTTGGGTTTTGAGTGCTTTCTAGCATGATAATCCTCATAGGTGTTTGCCATTGCCATTGAATCTTAATAATCGGATTCTTAACGGAGGAAAATCACTCAGCTATTCCCAGTGTGGTAGTGTATAGAGTTTAGTTACAGGGTAGGCGCCTCCCTGGGGTTTCTGATGTATGTGGTTTATGGACATTCCCCCAGATTTTCAAGCCAGGGGGAAATGTTGTGCTGGGCTTTCTCTCTGGTGTTACCCATTTCATCTCATTGCTCTTCAGGTTCTGTTTCTGCTGACAGTTTAAGTTCCTGGGCTGACCTTGCTATTTACTTTCCTCCAATAAGCAGCTCTAATAAAAGTGTATCTACATGATAAAATTGTAATACACATATTAGTAGTGGTGTTGGTAGTAATTAATAATACCTAACATTGGGGCGGCGCCTGTGGCTCGGTGAGTAGGGCGCCAGCCCCATATACTGAGGGTAGCGGATTCAAACCCAGCCCTGGCCAAACTGCAACAAAAAAAGTAGCCAGGCGTTGTGGTGGGTGCCTTTAGTCCCAGCTACTTGGGAGGCTGAGGCAAGAGAATCGTCTTAAGCCCAAGAGTTGGAGGTTGCTGTGAGCTGTGATGCCATGGCACTCCACCTGTCTCAAAAAAAAAAAAAAAAACAGTAGCTAACATTGGCTGGGGCGGGGGGTCACAGCGTGAGCACAGGACACAATTATAAGAGGGTCTTTACCTAACATAAATGTAAGCAGTACAACCTGGTTCTTGTACCCTCAATGAATTCCCAACAATTTAAAAAAAAAAAAAACTAATATTAGGCCAGCATAGTGGCTCACATCTGTAATCATGGCACTCTTGGAGGCCAAGGCAGGTGGATTGCTTGACCTCAAGAGTTCGAGCCAGGCGCGGCGCCTGTGGCTCAAGCGGCTAAGGCGCCAGCCATGTACACCTAAGGTGGCGGGTTCGAATCCCCAGCCCGGACCGCCAAACAACAATGACGGATGCAACCAAAAAATAGCCGGGCGTTGTGGCGGGCGCCTGTAGTTCCAGCTACTTGGGAGGCGGAGGCAGGAGACTCGCTTGAGCCCAGGAGTTGGAGGTTGCTGTGAGCTGTAATGCCACGACACTCTACCCAGGGGGACAGCTTGAGGCTCTGTTTAAAAAAAAAAAAAAAAAAAGAGTTCGAGCCAACCTGAGCAAGATCAAGACTTTGTCTCTAAAAATAGCCAGATATTGTGGTGGGTGCCAGTAATCCCAGCTAAGGAAGCTAAGGCAAGATTATTGCTTGAGCTCAAGAGTTTGAGGTTGCGAATGGCGTCTGTGGCTCAAAGGAGTAGGGTTCCCCCATATGCCGGAGGTGGTGGGTTCAAACCCAACCCTGGCCAAAAAAAAAGTTTGAGGTTGCTGTGAGCTGTGACACTGTGGTAGTCTGTCTAGGGCTACAAAGTGAGACTCTGTCTCAAAAAAAAAAAAAAAATAAGGCCAGGCACGGTGGCTCACACCTGTAATCCTAGCACTCTTGGAGTCCAAGGTGGGTGGATTGCTTGAGCTCATGAGTTTGAAACCACCCTGAGCCAGAGCGAGACCTCATTTCTAAAAAAAATAGCCAGGTATTGTGGCAGGCATCTGTAGTCCCAGCTACTTGGGAGGCTGAGGCAAGAGAATCACGTGAGCCCCCAAGAGTTTGAGATTGCTGTGAGCTGTGAAGCCACAGCACTCTCCTGAGGGCAACAAAGTGAGACTCTCAAAAAAAAAAAAAAGAAAGAAAGAAAAGAAATAGCTAGCATTTACTATTTACCATGTGTCAGGGACTGTACTTATATTGTATATTAATTGATTTGCTTAATCTTCATAACAGCTGTTTTGTAAGATGTGCAAACTGAGGTGTTACGTAACTTGGCATTGACAGAATTTGTGTTCTGGCAGCCAGGCCTGGGCTTTTCACCCCTAAGTTACAAGCCTAGTAGCATTGCTGGGCTTGTTGCTGATACCCAACCAGAAACCATCTACCCTTAGTCTAGAAGCTAAGAATGCTCTGTCTCATAAGATAGAAGTTTTAAAAATGAATAGAAAGAGCCTGGTAGCTAATGAAGTAGTTGTAAATGCCCCTCTACATTTGATTCTGAAATATTTTATTACATATTGCTTTATAGAAGGAAGTGTCAGAAGTCATTTTTTGTCTTCACAAAAAGCTGCTTTTGAAAGTCTTATATTAAATAACCTAAGAAAGCGGCTCGGCGCCTGTAGCTCAAGCGGCTAAGGTGCCAGCCACACATACACCTAAGCTGGCGGGTTTGAATCCAGCCTGGGCCCGCCAAACAACAGTGACGGCTGCAACCAAAAACTAGCCAGGTGTTGTGGCGGGCGCCTGTATTCCCAGCTACTTGGGAGGCAGAGGCAGGAGACTCGCCTGAGCCCAGGAGTTGGAGGTTCCTGTGAGCTGTGTTGCTGCGGCACTCTACCCAGGGCAACAGCTTGAGGCTCTGTCTCAAAAAAAGAAAAAAGAAAAAACCCTAAGAAAGCTATGGGTACTTTCTGTCATAGTGGGAGTAGCAATAGTTTTATACAAGAGTCGTGTGCTAGAATAGACTACAGAAGTGACCTGGTCTAGGCATTTACCACTGTGACCATAGAAGCCTTGAAACTTAGAAAAATTGGCTCGGCGCCTATAGCTCAACCGGC